ATTTGTTTTAAATAAGGGCGCGTGTATAGAATGTTGCTAAGGGGAGAGATAGTATTAAGGTGTAGTAGTAATTGTACAATAGGCGTGTAACCTGTACTCTTAAGCATAGTATAAAGAGAAAAAATACTCTAGGTTTGCACTTAGATTAATATTGCAAGATAGCTATTAGGCTTTACCTGTGATTTAGTGGCATAAGGTGGTTGTTGCAGACATTGCTACTGTTTTCTAAACATTGAAGGGTTGTTGCAAGCGTTCTAGCTATTTCTTGAACATTGTAGTGTTATTAGCGTTGTTGGGGGTTGTTAGGGTTGTTAGGGTTGTTGGCGTTGTTGGCGTTGTTGGGGTTGTTGGCGTTGTTGGCGTTGTTAGCGTCGTTGTCGTTGTTGGCGTTGTTGGCGCTGTTGGCAGAGCGTAGTATGTCCATACTAGTGTTGCTGTTTTTGTGCAATAATTGCGCAAGTATTTTCCTGAACGTGCAAGATACATTATAGGGACAGTATGCCTGTGAGGCATTTTTATCTTGTGCAAGCTCTACTACTGTTATTTAATTTTTGCTTAACAGCTGCAATGTTTATTTAGATTATACTGTTGCCCACAGTACAATGCCACGATTTCCCAATTTCGACAATGGAAAAACTTTTCCCGATGAAGCGAGTCGCTCACCCAAGTGAGTCGTCCGCCAAACACCCGCGCCGCGCCTACGCAGCAGTGCAGCGCAGCACTACAATAAATTACAATACTACACATAACATTATAATATTATTTAGAAGCGTTGCTATTATCTACGTCCTTAATTTCTACCTAACAGGTGTGGGAGTTATGCCTAATTTTGCTGCAATAGCTGCAGCGCCTCTCTGCGCGCACCCTCTTTGCAGGCGTCTTGCCCTCCTCACAACTACTACCCTCCTTTTTAGTAACTAGGTTAGATACCTTACTAACTATTAGAGTCTCCTCTACGCGTACATACCGCCTTTTATAGGTCTTGCGCTTTATAAGTGTAGTAATAGCGTCTTATAGGCAGCCTATTTCCTCCTATACTAATACTATATTATAAGCTAACGTGAGTGCATAGCGAGTGCGCCGGATAAGCGAGCGCGCCACCCCAACAAGCCACTGGGGCTCTACCACCTCAAACCTCAATGTCTTAATAACCTAATTTCGAACTGCTTTTAAAAGAGGAGAGGATTAAGCTTGCCCTTTAAGTAATTAAAGAGCTGTAAAAATTAAGTGTGTAACACGCAGCTGTTGTCTATAACATATCCTAAAGGTTAATTAACTGTTAACACACTAGGACACAGTTAACACGCAATACCTACCCTAAATTAGCAAACCTGTAAAAGACAGGAGAGAGGACGCTTGTGCAGTATATTAGGAAGCTAGATTCCTAAGGATTTGCCCTAACGCTTTATTGTGTTGAAGATATAGCTAATTAACTGCGCGCTGCACGCAGCGCAAAGCCTGTTAGCCTATAATAGGCTTTAAACTTTATTAAACGCGAACCTAGACTTAAATTGCATATAACTTAACAGAGGGATTACTAGAGAGTCTTGTGTAGTAATCTAGAGGTTATTAGGCCTTAGTTTAACCTTGTACATAATATTAAGGCTAAGTACAGCATCCTAGATAAAGATACCTATAACTTTAACAAGACTAGCTTTACTATAGGCATTAGAAACTATGTTAAAGTAGTCACTATATTAGAGAGACGTACTAAGCCTATTAGGTTGTAACAGGGGGACTGTAAGTAGGTAACTTTTATTACTGCAATTAACGCAATAGGCTAGGTAATTGCGCCCTACCTTATCTTTAAAGCAAAGAACCACGACACGTCCTAGTACCCTAATTTAAGGCCACAATGTAACGGTCTAGACTCTAAAGCTAAAGAAGAGCTAGAGCTAGCCGGTTACATTAGCTTAGCCAGCTTGGCTTAAGCTAGATATATATTATCTACGCAGTTAACTAGGCGTCTAGTTAACTTGTGCATGCTTTTTAGCAAAAGTTGTTAGGAAGTAGATATCCTTTATTGGCCTTTGGCCAGACTACTACACAGACAGACTTATAACGGTACTCCTAGTAAACAAGTAGGAAGGTTTCCTCTAATAACTTAGTCTAGTAAATAGGGAGTTAATAGAAGTGCTAAATAGTGTACCTCTAGACAGGATTTTAGAATAAATTAAGGACCTTGTATGTGCATAAATACTTAGCTTAAAGAGTTTCTAAGCTAAAGGGGGTGTGTTAGATAAGAGCAAACAGTAAGAGGTTAGATCTGCGTAATTAAGCAGGGACCTGTCGTGCAGCCAATCAGCAGTTGCTAGGTCGATTAAGCGAGACCTGGCAACTCCTGATTGGCCCGCACACAGGCGGCCGCAAACAGCGCTAATTCCCCCCCCCACTTCAATCCTGTAGCAACCAGCACGACGCCACGGCAGACACCATCGCCACAATTATCAATAAATCATCATACCACCTAAGATCTCGTTAAGCACATACTCTGGCTCACAGTGCAAGAATCTAACAATTAAGAGTCTTACTACTACAACTAAACTGCCGCAACCTCACTGCCGCAACTAAAATAGCGCAACTAGCGTACTGCGACCTAACAACAGTCCTTAGGGACCAAGCTAACTAGACTGGCTAGCTTGCGCAGCTATATGCAAGATGCCTGTCGCGTAATATCTAGGACAAGATTAACCTAAAGACAACTACACTACTACTATTAAAGCTACTCTTACTAAGGGCTCTAACTATTACTAACTACGCACTAGCTGTAGACACTAACGTTAATACTATTAAGGCTAACTAAGCTATTAATAATAGGCTAGAAGGCATTTAAGGAAGACCTTAAGTACTATAAAGTACTCCTTAAACAATAACGTAATCGGCCATTGAGTCGGCCAGGCAATTGAGCCGGCCACCTTATGCAGCCACCCACCTTGACACGCAGATAACTCAACACCACAACGTCGTGCTGTGGCTCACAGTACGTCAAATTAATCCACTCTGTCCACAGTATCTTGCTTACATGTGCGCTTATTGTGCCTAGCCTGACCACACCTCCCACAGCGTTAAGAACCCTCTCTACTACCACCTGTTCGCACCCTCTCCTTACGCCTCTCTGCCTCTGCCTGCACCACCACCTCTTGTGCAGCTATTATTTCCTCTGCCTCTTGCTGTAATAGGGTTCCTCTATACTAGATCTGCTTCCTTTTACGTGCTTTACGCTTAGAAGCAGCTTTATTTACTGCTTAAAGCTTAACTATCTCAGCTGCTATAAGCACCTAGGAATGCACCATTATATCAGCTCCCTTTTTAAACTGCTGCACTATCTTAATAATTAAAGCTAGAGATAAACTGTAGTGCTGCCTAATCTAGTCAGATATTAGTGTTAATTAAGCCAATATTTCAGCAGCGTTGCTTAGTGTTCTAGGTTGCTAGGTAGTAGGCCCTAGTAAAGGTAGTGTTGGCGTATAAGGCTTTACTTCAAGCTTTAATAGCACTACCTCTAGGTTGTCTAGAACTAAGCCTATTGCTTAGAAGCTTGATTAGATATTATTAGATAAAAACGCCTTATTAAACACCTAATTAAAGGTAGCTAAGAATACTTTCTTGTTAATGTAAGTGACGTAGCTGTTTGCTAAGACATTAATTTCTGTCTTATATGCTTGTTTTAATAGGGCAAAACAGCCTACATTAAGTGGCTGTAGGATATGGGAGGTGTGAGGAGGCATACAGAGAGTAATAATTTTGTTCTCCTCACACAGATCCTGGAAGGCAAGCGACTTGTGGCTCTCATGGCCATCAATAATCAGCAGCCGGTGGCTACCCACTGTTCGGGCTGTTGTATGCTGGATGAAGTGCTTCAGCCACTCTAGGCCCAGTTCATTTGTTGTCTAGCTATTCTTGCTAACACCAATACGCCAATCCTTTAGGTTGTGATACTAGGCTTAGTTGTAGTTCTTTGCTTTGAAGATAATAAAGGGCGGGATAACCTACCCTATAGTATTAATTGCGGCAATTAACGTCGCCCATTCACAGTTGCTAGGCTAGACTCTAAGTGGCTTAAGACGCCTCTTAGACGCTGTCACCACCTTAACAGACCCTCTAACACCTATCTAGAAGCTAGTCTTGTTAAAGTTGTAGGTATCTTGGTCCTAGATGCCATATTTGGCTTTGACGTTGCGCACAAGGTTGAACCAGGGGCTGATGATAGCTAGATCACTGCACAAGACTCTCTAGTGATCGCGCTGTCTGGTTACCTAAGACTTAATCTCAGGCTTCCAGTTTACAAGGTGCCTAGCCCATTTTTCTCTAACCTTACTACCACCATAGGCAGCTAGCAGTTAATTGGCCATTTCACGTACGTAGCTTAGCGTAGGGGCAAAGCCTCGCGCGTCAAGCTTCCTTATGTATTGTATAACCACCTCCTCTTTAGGCTTAGTAAGCCTTGATCTGCTGTAGTAGGAATTGCGTTGTGAGGTAGTTTTAGCGTGTTAGTCTTAGAGGGTTGATTAAGGAACGTCATAGATAGCAGTAGCGCGCTGTTAGCTTATTAACGCGTTAGATTTCATAGCTTAGATAGCAAGGATTATCCTATCCTTATAAGGAGGTAATCTAAGATCAGGTTGTTGAGACATTAGATAAGAGGTGGAATGAGGTGTGATCTTGGCAAAGGTGGCCGGCTCAATTGCCTGGCCGACTCAATGGCCGATTACGTTACAAGAATAATTAACACAAATATAAGAAGGAGGAAGTAAGCCTTTAGCATATTATTGTGTTTATTTAGTTAACTGTGTTGCTATATCTACTACACACATGCTGTCTTCCTAAAAAAACTACTACAATAGTAGATTATAGACCTACAACTTACTATTAGGGTTAACGTGGTTCACAAGCGAGTCGCTCACCCAAGTGAGTTGTCCACCAAACACCCGCGCCGCGCCTACGCAGCAGTGCAGCGCAGCACTACAATAAATTACAATACTACACATAGCATTATAATATTATTCAGAAGCGTTGCTATTATCTATGTCCTTAATTTCTACCTTAAAGGTGTAGGAGTTATGCCTAATTTCGCTGCAACAGCTGCAGCGCCTCTCTGCGCGCACCCTCTTTGCAGGCGTCTTGCTATCCTTATAACTACTACCTTCCTATTTAGTAACTAGGTTAGATACCTTATTAACTATTAGAGTCTCCTCAATGTGTACATACTGCCTTTTACAGGTCTTGCGCTTTATAAGCGTAGTAATAGCGTCTTATAGGCAGCCTATTTCCTCCTACACTAACACTATATTATAAGCTATCTATTAAGCGCCTTTACTTAACTACTTAACCTACTTATCTAATAAACTTGCTAGTAACCTACAATAATTTTGCATGTGATTTTAGATTAGTGTTAGCTGCGCCTCTATCTTGTGGGTGTTATGTGGTGTTTGCGCCTCCTAGGTAACAGTGCCTGGTGCAGGTGGTGTCAGCGTACGTAGCTGTACATCAAGCTTTAATAACACAACCTTAGGGTTATGCAGGGCTAGCCTAGCGCCTTAAAACCCTGCGCAAACATTCTCTAGTGTAAATATCCTCTTAAAAGCTACTTTAAAGGCTAGTAGGAAGGTTTCTTTATTAATATAGTAGATGCGGCTGCGTGCTAAGAGCAAGATCCTGTTACTATAGTAGCGCTTCAACAGCGAGTATGGGACAACATTAAGAGGCTGCAGGAGGTGTGATGAGTGTGGTGGCATGCAGAGAGTGATAATCTTGTTCTCCTTGCAGTAGTCCTAGAATTCTATTAAGCAGTGGCTCTTATGGCTGTTAATAATAAGCAGCCTATATGCCCTAGTAGAGGTTACCTTTGTATAGGCGTTAAAGTGCTTAAGCTATGCTATTACAACATTGTTATTAGTCTAGCTAGTAGGAGAGACTATAATAACCTAGTTGTAAGGTAGACTAGTAAACTAGGAGGAGATAAGGACCTTGCCTATAAAGATAAGGAAGGGTAGGATAATACACCCTATTGTAGTAACGCCTTATACTAGGGTAACCTACTTGTAATTGCTAGGCTATAGTTTCTTCTATTTCCTAGGTTTCTCTAAACCTGTAATAACCAGCAAAGAGGATATCTTGCCTATTATAAAGCTAGACTTATTAAAGTTCTAGGTGTCCTTATCTGTAATACTATACTTTGTCCTTATTAATTAAACTAGGCTAAACTAGGGCTAGATAAGCGCTAGGTCTTTGCAGGCAGCTTGCTAGCAATTGTATAGACAGCTCTATTGCGTGCGCAGCTCTAGTGTACGCTTGATAAAGTTATTAACCTAGTTCTTACCTGTAGGCTTCCTACTACGCTCCCTTAGCAGTCTATTAGCTATATCTTGTATATGCGCCTTTAAGGGTGGTATTCTATGTAGACTCTCTTTAAGTATATGCTGTATAATTGCCTCCTCTTCTAGATTTGTAAGGCGCTTTAATTTTAGCTTATAGTTGTGTTAAGGGTGTTGTCTAGCGCGTTAGTCTTAGATTGTTGTTTGTGGGATGTTATAGACTACTGCAGCGCGTCTTTCGCTCTGTATCTGCTTAGACTTAATATCAGAGATAGCAATAAATATATCTCCTTTAGTATAGGTCTTTTGCATGTTGCGTTGTTGTGGCATTACGCGTTGTTGCTGCGCAGGCGGGGCGCGGGTGTTTAGTGGGCGACTCACTTGGGTGGGCGACTCGCTTGTGCATCACGTTAATAAATAAATTAAATAAGAACAAGCCTAAGATAGATACCTCTTAGCACTTAAGCTAATAAGAAGCACGTCATAATAGGATACCTGGCTAGCTAAGTATAACTAGGTAGCTACAGAAGCAGAGATGTACAGAGTTACTAAATTATTGCAATAAAATGTAATAACAAAGGACTTCCTAACAGCTATAAATAGGGTTACACCTATCTAGGCTACAAGCTTTTAAGATAGCAGACACTTTAAATCTAGTATAAGTTAGAAGGAGATAATAAAATACTACATCAGGAAAAGTTTTTCCATTGTCGAAATCAGGAAATCGTGGCATTGTACTGTGGGCAGCAGTAGGACTGGTAGGCCTACAACAGTCATTCAATGTGCATTCAATGTCCAGCCAATTTTAAGCCAATTTTGAGCCAACAGCTCCAACGGTCCTAATAGCTGCAATAGCCACAATAACTCCTAATCCTGCTACAATAGTAGCTCTGCTTAATAAACTATACTTTTATTATATTAATATACTACTAAGTCTTCTCTTTAAAATAAGCTATTAAACAACATTATAGGCCTAGTAATAGAATAGTTATTAAGCGTAGAAGGTTTTAAGCTTAATATTC